TTAGGTCCCACGCATTCCCCATGCACACACTCGTGTGCTCGCTCAGTCAGTCCCGCGCAGCATTCATGCCCATCATGTATGATGGAGATCGCACAATAACTGAACAGTGGCTTATTTCCTGCGATGTGCGCGTCGTGGTCTTGCACGGATCCTACTGCAGAATAAGGAGTGTATCTAGATGGGGACTTAAGTTACAATACCCAGATGCAAAGACCGAAGTAGCCACGGAAGTGTCCTCTCGGAGTCTCAAGCCGAATAAAAACCCTGAACCCGTGGTTGTGTGGCAGATTGTTGCAGAGCTTCACGCCCCCCAAATACAGTCATGCACCCTGCGAAGTGCACTTACGTTCAGCTAGGCGGGAGGCAAAAAACAGGAACCTAAACCCCCAACTTCCCAAACCCATCCTGCGCACAAAAATTGCAGGCTGAGGCAGCAAGGCGAAAGGAGCCGCGTGCCTGAAGGGGTCACGCCTTTGAGTGAAGGCTGCAGCATGCAGAGACGCGTGGAGTTCCCATTTGTGCTTTTTGTTGGTGCCATCCCCAATCGTCGCGGAATCGACCCCTGAATGCGTATTACAGTTATCAGAGACCTCCAGAAAGCTACAAGACCTGGGTCATCTTGGTCCTACAACATCCTACAACGCCACAAGGCAAAGCAAGGCGGCGGTCGAGGCAAACAAGAAGAAGCCCCTTGTCTCTTTACGCGGTGGTAGTTATAACAGTTGCCCTTGACTGTCGCAAGCAAGAGAGCGTCTTGAGATTGCTCCTGGGATCGTGCTTGTTGGCTTGACAGCAAACGGGACCGGGAAGAGAGACTACACAAAAGCTCTTATTATATGCTTTGATGGGCGACTGCTGTGCACTTACGCCTGTGCAAGGCAACCAGCAGCTCCAAAGCCACTTTGCTGCACTTGCAGGGACGTCAGACACCTCTGGCTATGAGGGCAAACTTTTGCGGAATACGGCAATATCAGACAATTGGACAACTTGAGAGTTTCTACGCAAGCTGGGGCTAGAGGATATTCAGGCTTCTGAGCCGTTGCAAGCCCCAGGCCTCACACAGGCACCTGATCCTGTTTGTTTTCTTTACCATTGGCACTGACTTCGGTCAAGCACCCATCATAAGCCATTCCAGGCGTCAACTAGCAGAGTCGAAGATATCCTCGCAGGTTCTTCCTAAAGGAGCCACGTGGTTAGCCCGAGTCCATTGTGTCACCACGAGTCATACTCAGGGGCGCTTCCAAGAAGTCGGCGGAAGAGGCTGCCCATTCAGATGGGGTCCACTCTTGCAGCGGTCATAAGAGCATGTGTTTTTTGGACAAAAGACGACAGACTTGCGATTCAAGAGCCCATGCACTGCAACACTTGCAATTGATCTGGCTAGGGGCCCGTGTTGGTCCCCTTAGATACCTAGAGGGTACGCTTATGGCCCAAGATCAGTACCATAAGATTGGGACCTGAATGTCAACCCGCCACCCGCCAATCTGATTTCGGCCTGGCATTGTACGGTGCTTGGGAATCCAAGATGCTAGGCCTGTGTAGTTTGGGAGGTTCCCCCCTTATGTTAGGCTAACAGTCCTTAATAGGGATTACAGTAGCCCCTACTATAATCCTTATTCAGAACAGGACTCTTAGTATAAGGGGGGGGAACATCGCCCTGTACATGCAGGGGTTGATTCTTTCAGCGCAGGGTTCCTCCCAATGTGCAGCCCGCAAGGGCCAGGTAAAAAAGAGGCCATCGCAATTAAGGAATATCCCTTGAACCATATAGGGTTCCTTTATCTGGTTTAAGAAATGTTCCTTAATTAAGGGGTATTGGAGTCTCCGGGCCTTGCGCCAGGTCGTCCAGCAGAAGCGGGGTGGGCCAAAGCTTTCTGAGGACGAAGCCAAGGCTTCCCTCCCGCTTCCTTCATCCCACTGCACACTTGGGTGGGCTTGGGTTTTCGATTTGTTCCCCACCTTCGGTGTGGGGTTGTTAGATTGAACACTCAACTCTTCTCCTCGCCCGGAACTCTTCTCCTTGCCCGGAACTCTTCTCCTCGCCCGGTCTACTCCTAGAGACTGCCTGGAGTGCCCAACCTCAGAGACTCCTTGGAGTGCCCAACCCCAGAGTCTCCCTGGAGTGCCCATCCCCAGAGCCCCAATTGCAAGCAAAAACTAAGAAAGCGTATTTGAATCAATGTGCCTTTGTTTGAACATCTTATTTGCGCTCCTTCCTTTTGACGAGGAGCAAGGTGGGGATGTTCGAAGTAAAATAATCTTGTTTTTTGGGGAGGGGGAGGGTACTTTGAATATGGACAAATAGGGAAATTTGTGGGATTCTTTCAACTTGAACAATGGCGATCGAAGCTCCGGCAGCCAAAAAGGCCCACAATCCCGCATGCCCCCCTCCCCACTCCGGAGAAGCACTGTTAGTGTAAGGGGGGAACATCCCAAGTTAGACCCTAAACCGCAAACCTTGGCGTTCTCCCCCCTTGGCAGGCACTCTTCGAGCGGGCGCAGCAAAGGAGAGGGCTGAGACACTAGTCATGGGGCAATGTGCTGATACCATGACTGAATATAACAATCGCATGATAGAATAATAGAATCTTGAATAAGGTAACAGTAAAATGACATAAAAATTGAATGGTAGAAAGCATCATAATATGATAAAACCTTATTATGATATATGAATATATTATGACAATGTAATATAACCATGTTACTATAATCGTATAATCGTACAATAGTCGAATAGGATAGTTGTCTAGAAATGTGCCATACTTCACTGCAGATGGCGGGAGGAACCAGAAAAGCGCGGCCCCCGCGTCGCAAGCTAAGTTTTCAGGAGCACGAGTCAGCCAACGCCATTGCAACACCAGCTTGCGCTGTTTGCTACAGGCTGTTTTTGGCTATTTGCGAATGCCCACATGCGACAGAATGCGAGGCATGCTTTAGGACAGGTGGGGAAGCAAAAGACTGCGCAAAAAACGTAAACGCCCATTAAACATAGAACATAACCGAGCGAGCGTTTGGACCCACCTGCTGAACCCCCGTGCTCAGGGTTTCTGCCGCGAGGGGCGGTCGCTTCGCCGCGTTTGATGACAGCGACTGAATACAGGCACCATCGTATGCTTGGATGTTCCTATGAGGTGCACATGCACATGGTTAATTACAGTTGCAGGACACGTCCAGGCATGTGAGGTGGCAAAGCAGTACAGTGTCTCAAGAAACTGTCTACTTTCTCATACTGCCACGTGCCTAGTGCACCACTGATGTACGCATTGGAAGCAGAGATTGGAAGCAGGCGAGATGCCTGAGGCTGACGATGGCGTGACGGTTCCGACGCAATGCCGGTTGCCAGTAGCTACTTTTGTCGTCGCAAAAGAAGTTTGTATCAGTGCTATGGGATCGCAGGATCCCCAGATGATTCTGCGTGAATCCCCGTCCTTCAAGAGCTATGGCAAACCTGGTAAGGTGTAATTGGCAATCTGCGCAGGCAGCTGCGTCTGAAGGATTGGTTGCGAGGTAAGGGCAATCTCATTGGACAAAGCTGCTTGCCGGCGAAATTCGGAAGCATCCAGCGCTGGCACGCAAGTCGTCATGAATCATGAATCATGCATCTTGCGTATGCAACCCCTAGGAACACCTCTCGTTGAGTTGGCCCTTGCGCCTGGAGCTTCGCGCAAGTCTCCATGCTTGAGGTATCTGTTCTGATTGAAGAGCAGAATAAAGCTCGAACTCAAGCTCCTTCTTGCCAGCCTGTCATACAGGCGCAGAAGCGAGGTAGAAAGCACCGGGATGCCAAAAGCAAGGTGAGAAGGAAATCATAGCAAACACATTATACTACAAGAAAGGGCCAATTATCAAATGTAAGATACTATATATGCTAAGACAATAGCGGAATGCAATATGAATATGTATATTTCATGTGTATATATATACACATGCAATATTTTCATATAGTGATATAACTTTTACGAGTAATCTAATCCAGGGTCGGCTTTCCGGAGAAGCTAAGCGACCCATCTTCTGTTACGCTTTCTTGGGTGCCATCCTGGTGTGACGGCATCTTTCCTCCAGGTTTGTTTGGGTTGAGGGTTTAGGGTTCAGGGGTCAGGGTTTAGCGTCTAGGGTCTAGGATCTAGGGTTTAGGGGGTCCAAGCACGCACTACCATCTAGTTCCAGGATCGCGCATCCAGAGCTGGATGTTTTGATCCAGGTACAAGTCTGCACTCTAGGGTCAATCAGACTATATGCCACATGCACTACTTTATGAATCAAAGCCAGTGGCGGCATCCAATGTAGACTTGCTTGGTGAGGAGTGCAGGCTACAAGTTACCTCCCTGGGGTGTGCTGCAAGCATACGTACTCTTCAAGCAGCCGTCAACTACTCTGCCGTACCTCACACCGATCCGAACCCTGCGAAAGACTTGGAAGGGCATTGCCAAGCCGACAGAGCCTTGCCGACATGCATGCGTGCAGGCATGCATACATGCATTTCACACCTTCGCACGTACAAGCAGAAGAGTCCCTGGAGTGCCCACCCTTAGAGAACCCCACCACCAAGTATCCCTGAAGGCCCTTGAAGTTTCGTCACGAAATTCTTCTAAATCGGCTATGGGAGACATGCTGCCCGGAAGCACTAAAACGGCCCAACACCCCAAACGCTCAACGCAAGTATGCCCTGTGAGATCAGGGTTCGGCGGGTGGTCGTGCTTAGATTTCACAGCCCACTGGGACAAAAACCTGGGCGGCAGGAATAAAAAGTCCTTCTTGAGGAAGTTGAGCATTTGCCCTGCGTATCTGTGTGTTGCATTCATGGTTTTAGGATTCCAGGATTCCGGCCGTCGATGCAGAACTGATCTGAGCTGCAAGGGCCGGTTCAGGATTCGCACCACACGCCACGATTTATTCTTTAAAGGCCTGAAGGAGGGCTTCACAAGGGCTTCGAGTCCTTTGTCGTCAGAGGGCCTAAGGTCTTCGAGGGCTGAAGAAATGCTGCTCCATGGCTTGGTCAGGATTGGTCTGCTGACTTTGGTGGTTGTCTAGTTGACAACATGGAGGACCCCGACTCAGCATACATGACAGTTTCAGGACGAGTTTTGTGGTGCTGGGGTGTAGCCGAAGCCACCATTTCAAAACGCAACATCTGCTCGTGGGAGGGAGACTCAGTAAGCCGCGATCGTGGCAGAGCGCAAAGGACGGCCCCAAAGCCATCGTCCCGGAGTGCCGCCCCAAGGAGTCTCAGATCCAAGGTCAGTCTCTGAATGCGTCTGTGTTGCATGCGTACTTCTTGATGGGTCGTGGCTATAGTCATCATGATATCAGGTTACTTAACGCCTGTTTTGGTCTGGCATTCGGTGAGAGCGCTTGCATGCTGGGTTCTGATGTTGTTCATGAGATACCTTAGCACTCGCCTCCTGCAATCTACAACGTAACTTGTCCCCTGGATGTCAAGCACTGGACTCTTTTCTCTCTGCTTGAGTTCTGTACCCAGCGGGGCCCAGGTTCAATTCCCTCGTGGCCTTCGCAGTCCCTCGAGAACATTGGGTGATGGTCTCAGCATTTCGCGGTATAGGAGGCGCTCTGACATTCCTACTGTAGGCCCCTGTAGGCAGCCGCGGGCCAAGAATGGTTCTTCCATATCCAGCAATCGCAGCAATAAGTTGGCTCTCGGAGTCAAGGGAACCTGATTCTGAGGGCTATGCGTGTATGGGACTGCAGGCTAGTACCTCGTCACGGTAGTGTGGCCGCAACACGCCAATAGCCGGAAAGGTCTCGGAGATGAAAGAGGGCAGTCCACTTCGCTGGAGCCCTCAGTGTTCCGAGTTCGGGGTCGCATGCCCTGCTCAGATGAGTCGTTCAATTTGACCTGCCTCGTGCCAGATGTGGTGCCTTGCAAAACGAAGGTTACACCCTCTTTGGCTGGCTCCACGACTTCGAGCACCTTGGCAAGACCGGACTACTGTCCCTGCGTGTGGCATGGGGCATGCGCGTAGGTAGTGGACTTACGTGTGTGACCAAACGCAGCCGCAACAACCAGCCGTGATTTTGAAGCCTCAAGAGACACCCGAAGAACCCACCATTGCAAAGCCTAGGCCATACCCAGCCGGGGCACTGAGACCTCTCGGCTCAGGGCCGCAGCCTGAGTGCCGGCATCGGGTTTCCGCTGTGACTCGTGTCCGGGTTCGCCAAGGGCTGAGGACCTACTGAAAAAGCATGGGATCCACTAGTGATCACTACTGTACGGAAGCAGAAGATGCTGAAGATACTTGTCACCTGATGCGCCCAGGAATCCGGCCCCGGGCGTGAACAGCGATGGAAAGGCATCCGGCTCTGTTCGCGCTTTGGATACAAAACGCACCATCCATTCACACCGCTGGTATAGGCAGCGTAAACAGTTTGTCACCGTGCCTTAGTTGCAATCTTGTGCAGGTTGCATCGTGGATCGAGACTAGCAGCGAAGCCCAGGCCGTCATCGCCTGGGCCCTTCCGACTTCTGGTTTCCAATGCAGGTCTTCCTCTGTCTACAGGTGTTTTACACATGCTCTCAAGTTTATGTTCTAGCTGCCTCTGGTACGGAAGGTGGAACATGGAGACACTTTCTCATAATCATGCCCGCAGGTTGGAGAAACGAAGCCATTTTGCTGGCACCTTGTTGCTCTTGAAGACGTTGAAGACCTCGAAGACCTCGAAAGAACTTCTCCACAGACTTGTAGGAAGGCCGCGTCTCCTTCACTTGTCTTAACTTAACTGCACTCCTCCCTAGCCAAATCCTTGCACGAGCCACATGTGACCTAGCAGAGTAGGCAGGCGCGACGCGCAGAGATCTCCTGAGCGCCTTAAGTATTCCCCCCCCCCCTCCCTCCGCCTAAATACTGTGCTGGGCTTCCCCGGCACCGCCATGAGCGCCATGAGTGCTGGGACAGAGCTGCAGCGCTACAGCGGCTCCTCGTTGCAAGTGGTTCGTTCGGGAGGGATTGATCTTGAGGCCTGGAGTTGGGGGGGCGGTCACACGGATTGGGATGCCAGGGGTGGGAATCTGGGATGACACAATTGACACAATGATGAGAGTGCTTTTCTCTCTTTTTTTGCGGTGGAGCCACGGTTGCCGGGTGGACGGTAGCCCTGCTCAGCACTCCGATTCGCCCTTGGCCGTGGACATTGAGTGCTGCACGGTGGCTTAAGCACTGCCAAGGGCATCTGATTCGCACACCCGATTGAAGAAATGTTCTGGCATAAGGATGTGGCATGTTGGTATAGGGCAAAGGGGATGGAAGTTGGAGTATGTCGGCATGTCGGCTAACAAGGGGGGTCTGAGTGCCTGGTCGGTCCCTTCACACTGTGTGGGTTGCCGGGTGTTAGGGGTAGAACTTCTAGAACAATCACGCAAGTGGCACATGCTCAGCACGTCGAAGTCCCCGTCTCAGGCACATTGGCCGAGCCTGCCACTCGCTGCTGACCCTTGGCGACGTGAGAGACACTGATCAAGAATGCTGCCGGCTCTTTCAGCCTGCCTTAGTCAGACTGAAAAACGATGAGTTGTTCTCTTCCGTCCAACATGTACACCCCTTGCATGTCAGGTATCGTCCTCGATCTTAGACGCGCGATGTTTGCAATTTCAGTGCCTGGCGTGCAGCTGGAAAGCTTTGCTTGGGATGCTGGCTGTTGTTCCCTGGCGCGTCGGGCATCCTAGGGCAAGAAAGTCGCTAAGCTACAGGTGTAGCCGGCCAGAGAAGGCACAGAACCAGCGAGTCCTAGTGAATGAACGATTGGGCTTTTGTTAGGGGATCCCTTAAACCCTTGAAAGACAAAAAACAAATCGAGAGAGAGAGAGAGAGAAAGAAACAAAAACAAAGAAAGAAGAAAGAGAGAGAGAAACCCGTCGTTTGGTGCGAAAGGAAGAAAGCGGGAGAGACCTGACCAACACCTTGAAGAGAGGGACGTGAGAATGTAACTAATGTAACTGCACTTCACTTCCTGAGGCTGTGGACTTTGGCATGGCTGGTCTCCATGGAGCCGCTGCGGCTTCCGGCCAGCCGCCCTTGCTGCGAGTGGCAGCAGCGCCCTGGGAGCTGCACTTACGTATGGTTGAGTGCTCTAGAATGATGGTCCCTTTTTGCTAGGGGCCGCCTTATAAAGGTAACCCCAAAAGGGATCCCCAATTGAGTGAAGTGACCATTTGGAGCTCAGGTGGACAGAGGTCGTGTTTGGGCCTTTACAGTCTAGGTTCGGGATTGTCCTGAGAAATGGACCAGTGTAGCGAATCTTCTGGGGTGCAGACACCACCTCCAGCGAAACATGGTGTTCGGTGATTCTTGCTGAACCCCAAGCCTGATACTTAGTTTCTCAGAAACGGAAAAAGCTCAGAGTGGTATGCTTTGGCTTGAGGCTTGCCTGCGCGTTAGAGCTGCTCACGGCGATCTGCCTTTTGCTAGGCGCCATGGTCCGGTTGAAAGTGGGTTCGAGTGGACGCGGTTCTGATGGGTAGTCCGCAAGCAGCAAAACCACACAACAATCATGACACCGATGCTGCTGTAAAAAATGACAAGCAGGAGGCTTCCAGCAAACCAAATATCAATGACGTTATAACTTGAAATGCACTAGCTGTGTTTCAGGTGGAACGGGGCGCTCCCGTTCCGGCCTCAGGACACCTGTTAGCGTGTCTCAGGGCCGTTTAGCCTTGCAGGGGAAATTCCACTAATTCTTGCATGTGAGAGGATCAGGGGCCAACCTGAGCCGGGGCAGATTTTTAAATCAACATGTTGGCGGAGCCTGAGACTTGAGAATTGGGCGAGGATGGCATTCGCCTTGACATCGGCGCTCGTGGTTGTTGAGCCACTCGATTCGGTTAGGGTTTTCGGAATTTCAGAGCCCCTGACGGACAGCGAAACAAGACACCTTGTTGAAGACGCGTTTGGCAAAAAAGGACGTCACAAGCAGCTCTTCACAGCATGGAGCTCCTTGCAGCCTAGAGTGGCCTTGCGGATCATAGCAGCTAAGGGAGGGTTTGGCAGTTCCGGAACAAGACATGTTTAGGCGCCCATGGCCTATAAGGCCCCGAATACATCGATAGGTGGAGGGGGCTCTCTTAACGGCCCCCTGCTCCGAAGCACACACAGGTAAGATCATCAATGGGGAGCTGTATAAGGATACCAGCGGGATATGCCAGGATGCTTTGGGACACTCTTAAGGCACAGCGACACGTCTAACTCTGCAGGATTCCAAGGGACTGTTGGGGGGACTGGGGCCCGGTGGGGCCCAAGGATCCCGCTTCCCCCGAACACCCCAGGTTGGTTGCTCTGTTCCTCCTGGTCCCAGCCAGCATCATTGGCGACTTAGCCCATGCGGAGAAGGTGTGCCATGCACTAGTTGAGCGCGGCCGCAGAACCCCTCCCCTCGACATTGTACCATGTACTGCCTCCGAGTATTTGAATGTCCATATATAATTTCCACTCCTTCAGAGAGGGCTGAGGGCAAATGGGCGCAGGCTGCCACAGAGTGAAGTGGGGGTTTCGCCTTCGCAAAGTGTGTGAACGCTGCGCGCAAGCAGGTTTTATTGGTTTTCCAGGGGTTTCCTGCATATCTTGCATGGAGGTGGTCTACACCATACCAATGGTCGTGATGTCCACCGCGCTTGACATCTACTTTGCATCTCGTCATGCAGTCTCTGTCCAGCAGCTATTCTGCTAATTTCAGTCTGAACACGCTTGGCAAGCAAGACCTCGTGGCACGGATAGATTCCCTTGCCCGCCCACCTGATTCCAGCTGCTTCATCAGGCATATATCGTGTGGTCCCGGACTCTCCAGCTGGAAGGATCTGAGGCAAACACGCTCAGTGCCGGGTAGGTGCGATGTTTGATCTGTCCATGTCAATGTCGGCCTTCCCCCTGGAGCTCTTAACGGCAACCTAGAGGCTGAAGTGTTGCCGCAGAGTTGGGCACCGCGGGTTTCTGACAGACCGAGCGCCTTCTCTCGGTGACAAGAGCCTCAGAGGCCCCCGCGTCTCGCATGGAACATGCGACCAAAAAGATGAGCTGCTGGTGAACCCCTGCATCACTTTTTCCGGGCAGGCACGTCGGGAATTACTTGTTCCGGTATGGCAGGTCAGTTTTGTGACTTGCAAGTCATTGGTACGCATGCCAACAAGCCCCGAAACATCTGTGCCCTGGCTGAAGACACCAAGCTTGCAACCTTCCCTCCCATCCTGCATGCTGTGCTACTGGTGCACGCTAAAACCGTGTTTCAGAGCACAGGAAAAGCTTCGAAACCCTTCTGAAGCAACTTGCAGTGAAGCCACGTGAAGCCCCCGCGAGTCTTGTGTACGGAGTTGTCATAATTGTCTTACAAGGCGGACCCCTAGTACTAATAATGCAAATCTCGGCCGGAAACCCCATGTTACTGTAACAGGTAAGCCTCTTCAGAGTCATGAAAGCCATGCTAAGAGGGAGCCGCACCGAAACAGGCAAGATGCCATGACTTTCCATGGACGTGCGCCAAAAACTTGTGCGAAGCTGCATTCTCCTTGCGGGCCGCTCTTCCATCTCCACCCAGTTCAGCCATACATGTGCGCTCACGCGAGAGGGCAAACTCCTGTGCTGGGGCTCCAACAGTTACGGCCAGTGCAACACGGCCCAGCTCGGCCGTGTGAGTGCTGTCTCTGCAGGCCGCAGCCACACCTGCGTCATCAACGAAGCTTCCGAGCTGGTATGCCTGGGGGACAACAGGAACGGACAGTGCAATGTACCAGTGGGATTGGGTCCAGTGATGGACGTGTCGGCCGGCTTCTTGCACACATGTGCGGTCACAGCGGATGGCTGCATGGCTTGTTTCGGATCGAACACGCACGGTCAATGCGATGTGCCCAAACAACTCTCCAAGGAGTTTGCAATGGTGTCCGCTGGTCGCAGCCACACCTGCGCTGTCACGCGCTCTGGCCACCTGGTGTGCTTCGGATCAAACTCCGACGGTCAGTGTCCACCTGCAGATGCAGGCTTTGCAGCGGTATCCGCTGGATCTTTTCACACTTGTGCCGTGCGCGCGGACGGCAGGCTCATCTGCTATGGGGCTAACAGTCATGGCCAATGTGATGTGCCTTCCGACTTGGGGCGGGTGATATCTGTGTCCGCAGGCCGCGATCACACATGTGCTGTGAGACTCGACGGCCATTTGGTTTGCTTCGGCAGAGCCTCTGAACGTGGCGAATGTGAGGTGCCGCCTATGTTAGGCCCAGTGCTTGGGGTGGCTGCTGGTATTTATCATACCTGTGCTGTCGATGGCACCGGCCAACTGGTGTGCTTCGGCTGCGATGGACATGGCCAGTGCGAGCAAGCTTTGGACATGGCTGCTGTTTTCTAATCGCGCCATGGATAGAACTCCACGTGGAGATCGCACAAGACAGCGATCTCGCTGACTCTGGCAGTGTGTTCAAAACGGGTGCATGCGCGGAGCTCCGCCTTTGAAGGGCTCCAATAGACCAGGAAGTCGTATTCTTCTCTCGGGCCCAGGCCGCAGTGGAGGACGCGAAGCAGCAGTGCGAGCACGGCTTCAGGACTGCCTCACTCGATAGGAGTGTCTGCCAAAGCTCGTCTTACAGGCCGTCAATTTCGGTTGATCTTCCGGTTCGTACTTGTCACGCGTTAATTAAGCTTGCCCGAACAGCATGCCTGATCTGTGCTTTATCCTGGCCGTTCACCTCCTCAGTCCGTTTCAAGCCTGAATTAATGGCAGTTTCTGAAGACCCGCACTCTACATGACGGGTCGTCCATGCATTTGGTCTCGGGAGGATGCGCTTCGGAATTTCCCCGGCGGACCTGCGACTGGGGGAAGCCACCAGCACCGCACAGAGACTGCTGCGGGGGCCTTGGCGAGATAGCGGCAAAGGATGCAAACGTAGCGTGAAAGAAGCCAGCCCATGTAAGCCAAACTACACGTCCGCTTAGGAGCATTGCCTTCAACACTGTTTGGCCACGTGCTTCTTTGTCAAAACCGTGGCAATTGTACTGTGCAAAGCCCAAACAATTCAAACAAGCTACATGCACATCAGGTCCCTGCATCCCTTCCTGCAATAGAATAGAACTGTTTCGTTTGTTCTGCGATGCGTGCTTGCAATACATAAATGTGTGTCACACATTTTGTAGGCCATTCTGGCGAATCCCTGGAACAAAATCGCAGGCAGAGAAACTCCGATATTCAAGGTCTGACATCATGAGGGAGATGCAGGAGGGCATAATACTCACAATTGAACTGGATGGCTTTGTCCGACTCGAGCTCCGTGTGGCTTTGAACCGTTCTGCTTCTTTCTCTTCCGGTGATGCTACCTTCAAAGTTTAGCCATAGCTCCAGTCTTCTACGCAGCCAGTCACAAGCAAAACAGCTCCCATAGAGACTAGGTTCCAAATGCGGCAGCGGGCGATCCACAACCCGCTCGAAACTTAGATTTGGATTGGTAAACGGATAACTTTGTTAGTTAGGTGCCGCTTTGGTTGCTAGTCTGCCATGTAGGGTCAATGTGGATCTGCGAAACCGTCCTGTGCATGTCCAGAAGCCGCAATGACATTGCACAAGGCCCTCAGGCCCCATAGTGTGAGGGAGATGGCCGTGAGAAAAAAGGGAGGAAGGGTCAGCCGTTCCACCTTCCTTCAGCATGTAAGCCCTGGATGTATGTTACTGTGTAGCCAGGCCTTTGCGAATGATATCTGTCATCCTTTGCCAGGTGTTTCCCATTGCAGCATCCGCACGTCCCATTCACACGCCGCCCTTTCTTCAACTGGCTTACATCAGGGACACTGACCCCCATCGCTGCGTTCCACGTGTTTACGTGACGACGCATCATGCTTGCTGTGACAGCTGTTTTTATTGTTCAGGCTTTTGTCTTTACATGTCTGCGCAATGTTGTGAAGCATGTTTTGTGCTGGTCATCGCTGATGACCTTCGATCCGCCAAGGCGTTTGCTCTCCAGCTGAGTGCACAGCGCTGCGGTCCCTCCCTGCTGGGGAAAGCTGCCCCCGGCTAGGGCTTGATTGTGCTCTCGATACATCTCGGTACCAGCAGACCAGCAACATACGCTACACTCGCACGATGGACTTTGGAGTGCGCAATGTCGGCTCGCGATTCCCCAGCGGTTAGTCAGTTAGTCAACTGGGATTGCGGTTCCGAACGCCTCCAGCAGAGTGAACAAAACGACGGCAGCCGTGTTGTGTCTAGCGGATGCAGACAATCAGCCACAAGGGGCACGGTGTGCCTGGTGAGCACAGATACAGATCACAAGTTCGCACACATGTCACATATACAGTATACAATTTCGCAGCCACTCCTCTCCCAACATCCACGCAGTCGCATAAGTACCAGTCCAGGGCTGTTGCAGAACAACTGAGGCAGAAACTCTTCACTTGTGCACACGTACTTGTGCCTACTCTGTACTCTTTACCCCATGGCATGTACCAAGCATCACTGACATGCAATTTTGCTTTACAACAGGGTTATCGACTGTAGAGGCACAGCCCTCCATCCGGCTCCGAAGCATCATGGCTGAAGCGCTTGATTCGCTTGACGAAGGACCGGGTCACCATGAATTGGACCATGTTACTAAATACTAGACCGAAAGTTCACTGATAGCTGCTTCTTAAGCAGTGGTTTTTGACTCCACCAAGCTGGCCCTGAAATCATGTAGTCACATAGTCACCATGTATGGTCATAGGGAACTCGTGGTTGCATCTCCCTTTTTGTGCATGACTTGCCATGCTGCACTCCCCCTGGCTCATCGTAGCTTTGGGGTGGCTTTAAAGCCATCATGTGATTCAATCAATCGGGGCCCGGCATCGACGAGACATGGATCATCTATGAGACAGTATGTCTTGCCGGAGGTTAGGGCAGGGTCTTCCAGTTGCGTGGTTCAGTGTTCCCTGTCGGTGTGGCTCGTTAGGCGGATCATGTAGGCTCTCAGCCAACTGAAACAAGAAGGTTGAAGCATCGCCTCCTGCAGGTGGCAAGACAAGTTCTTGGTCCTCTGCATCCCATGTAGACCCCACAGCCCCCGAAGCAAAACCCTTGTATCCCGGCCAGGAGACTTGAGAGCTCTGATCGTCATGTCCATTGACGAGCCTCGATTAGAACAAGTTGGGGCATGAATGCATCGAGATGTGACTGCAAGTTGTAAGCTTGCCCGTCGCGGCTGTCGCAAGTTGGCTTTTTTCCCCGAGTCATTCACATCGCTGTGATTGTGGGTGCGATCCCTGCTTAGAGTCTTGATCATGGGCACTTTCGACTAGCCAAACCGGGGTATACTATGATAGATCCCAAAACTCCAGTAAGGGCCACGGTTCGTGTAGGTTCGTTTCGGTTTCCGGGAACATACTCTGGAACGGTTCCGGTTCATGCGGTTCGCTGCGGCTTGCGGTTCGGTTCGGTTCGGGTGCCAAACCCCCCCCCCCCCTCCATCCAGCCAGCCCCCTCCATCCAGCCCCCCTCATCACCCACCCCTCCCCCCATCTCTCTCCATCTCCCTCCATCTCCCTCCAGCCCCTCCGGCCCCTCCAAGCCCCTCCACAGCCCCTCCAAACCTGGCTCCAAGCCCCTCCAGCCCTTGGCTTGAGGTTCGGTTCCATGGCGGTTCGTGTTTGTCGCGCTTTCGGCGGTACACGGTTCACACGGTTCCTTCGCGCGTGCGGTTCCTGGCGGTTCGGTTCCGGTTTGCGTTCGGTTCGCGGCTTTCCTGAAACTCAAAAGACAACATGATTTGGGTCACCTCAATCTTCCTGCTATATGCTGCAAGTGATGGGTTCTCAGAATTGGTGGGGTTGCCCTGCGACCAGTTCTTGGGCTCAGTGTTGGGGTACTTGCCCCAGGCTGTCCGACAGCAGATGACGGAGTACAAGGCCTGAAGTCCAGATGCGAACAGCTTTAGGGTTTAGGGTTTAGGGATGTTTAGGGTTTATAGGGTTTAGGGTTTAGGGTACCGGGATCTCCCACGAAGCGCACCTTTTGTAACTGCAAAGCAGTTCTTTTAATGTTGTTTCAATCATCCTCAGCCGCTTACTTGGGCCATTCGCTATCATATCTTCTGTCCAAGATCCAGCCTCCCAGAAACTTGTTGGCTCCTGACTTGCCTTGTGCACCTATGGATGCTGCAACACTGATCACTCTTTCTGCAGCGGGGCTTTTGTGTGCCTTAGCGGTATGAGCCCCCAAGTTCGGCTAGGCTTGTGGGCTGCCTTCAGTGCTGCAAGCTGTTGTGTCATGCGTCGGCGTGTTCAGCCAATGTTGGGCCTAAGGGATGTTGGAATATGCATTGCTTCGATAAGAAATTTTTCAGGCGCCTTATGCATGTTCGAGGTTGGGCCCAGGGGTTTCTAAGCACTGAACTGAGAGCTTTGTCAGGACAAGGCTGCGACAGACGAGTCGCTGCGCGGCCGCAGGGATGTCACAGCTCATGGCGGAGCCGAGGGGAAGGTTTGTTGCGGCACGCTGTAACTATTTCATGTTCTTGGTGTTCATGGTCTCATGCAGTTTATTCAGCAAGCGGTTGCTTTTGCTCAGGAGCACAAGCACAACCACAGAAGTGGAATCAGAATCACCTACCCAGGTCGATGCTGAAGCTGCAGAAGGAAAAGCGCGAGTTGCTCCGACAGCGTGAAGCCGCTTGATCAGGAACAGGAACTGATAATCCTGACGAGGGCTACTGGTGTTTTGGCATTCAGTGGCATCCGGACAAACAAGCCGCTTCGAAAACCTTAGTCACTTAGTTGGTTCATATGCGGCCACCCTGTCACGGGACTTTGCCACCTAAGGCAATATGAGGACCTGACTAGGAGAAAAGTCAGGGAAGCCTGTAGGGGTACAACGTAAGGGCTACAAGTCTTGATCCCTCTCACCTTGACCCATGATCCACCGCGACAGTTGTGTTTCTTTCGGGCGCAACATAGCATATATGATATGTATATATGTATATATACATATATATATATAGAGAGCGAGTGTGTGTGTGTGTGTGTGTGTGTGTGTGTGTGTGTCTGTGTGTCCCTTTCCGCATATGTATATTATTATACATATACATATACATGTATATATATATATACATATAGATATGTATATATATAGACATAGATCATAGATCTACTAATTCATTCTTCATGAAGTCATAATATATATAGAAAAGGTTGGGTGATATATATATATATATATATATTATATGCATATGTATACATATTGTTGTGTGGTGTTGAATGTCGTGTCCTCCTTGCGCTCAGGAGCAGGACCAGCGCATTGCGGCAGCAGCTTCGCGGCTGCACATGGCAAAGCTCGTTGGCTCTTCGTTCACGCATCTGGAGAGTTCTGGGTGCTCGGGGCGTAGCAGATCGAACCTGTACCCTAAACGTAAACCGTAGAGCCTGTCATGCTGTTGGCCTCTTCAGCAGCTCTTTCCATATCTCCTGTGACCTACTATTGTGAATGAAGGGGCAGGAGAACTCCACAACAGATTCCCAATTACCACGCAAGTGTTCCACCACGGCCGCGTGCAAGTTGCCGACCTCCAAAACGCAGCATGCATTCAGAAGAAACAGTTGCTCGTAGCTCAAGAGCTGACTTGGGCAAACTGAGGAAGCGCATGCCAAGGCGCTCTTAGAAGAGTTCAAGAATGTGGCGCCAGAGCCCCCTGTTCCCACGGATGCCTGGCAACTCTGGGTGCGAGCGGTGCTGGCCTGCTTGGAGATTCAGGGTTTGGTGATGAATGCAGGAGGCGGGGCGTTGGATTGAGCTTTCGGTGGGCCTTAAATAGGGTTCGGCTCAGGGGACGTCTTTTTGCAGAGGCATCTCTTCCGAACGTTCTGCTGTTTCGCTCTGGTTTTGTCCACTACCTTTTCAGCTGCTCCATGGAAGAATGTTGGGATGCGATCTCAGATCGTAGTGGTCGTGCTGCTGCCCTAGTTGACAGGAAGCCAAAATCGGCTGCGGTCTACACAATTGCAGCCAGCTTCGCTCCCACGACATGCGCGCCAGGAGCCAGCTCGCGAGGCGTTCAACGTCCAGACTGATGCCTACAGGGGCCAGTAGGCCGAGCCATTTCCCAGAATCATACGTATAGTAATATAGGAATTTAGGAATTTAGGAATATAGGAATATAGGAATATAGGAACATAGCAATGTAGTACTGTAGTAAGATAGTAGTATAGCAATATACCCAACGTAACGTGCCACGATGTTTCTTGGATGAGAAGATTGACAAGAGACAAGACATGCCCAGAGTGCACTTCACATCGCATCGTTGTAGAGCCAGGCTGGGCGAAATAGACCCGCGTGCGGCGCGGCGAGGCATAGTTTCACTAGGCAGATGATGATTCTTAGCTCGGGCAGCCTATGCCCACGGATCCGGGGGCCCACTTCAATGCTTCTATCTCCAGCTCATTCGAGTTGTAGAGGGCTGCGACTTTGGACCACCTGGAGTAGATCGGATCGGCGAATCTCCGAATCATACTGGAGCCCCCGGAACGAGCATGGTAGCCGTGAGAGGCACGCAGCGCCGACCCCAAGGAGAAAAGGTCTAGCTGCCATGATGCCGCGGTGGTGGCACAGCCTTGTTCTTTTTCACAGCAGCAGAACAGAACAACCGAATCTATACTACATATATATATATATATTACTAGTGTCTCATCTCCGGAACAAAGGGCCCAGAAACCTGCCAGGCGAAGGATTCCCATAGGATGAGCTGCAAGAGTCAGGCCTTGATACTCACAGTCAGGCGAGCCCATTGAACGGCAAGTTGGCGTTTTTTCGACAGTCTTTGGCCGTGTTGGCGACTGCGGAACACGCACTGCGCCTGCCGTGTGCGGGGAAGGTACAGGAATAGTAAGTTACGATTCGACACCCCCCCAACCCGAACCCGAGCAGCCCTTACGCGCGATTGTTGTGGCTCGGAGATCGATTTTATTGGCCTCTCTGTCTGCCCACCCGGGCCACGGACTGAGCTTCTCACGGGCGCCTGGGTTCATCGGAGTTAGCCAGGGAGTTCAAAGACAGTCGCAAGCGATAAAGGAGATCAATGAATGAATAAGTGAACATACCCACAAATATCAAGGATCACTAGTATCATTAGGCACCATGATCGTAGGTATGCATACACATATACATATATACAAATACCGTGTACGATCATGTATAAGGAATAGTTCAAGGTTCCTCAGTTCCGGTTCAAAGGCTCTAGGGATGTCCGATATCTGAGGGCCCCACGTGCTTCATGCAAAGGGACACCTATACGGATGGCGTTAAAAACCGATGAAGCGGAAGCGGATGCGGTTTAATGCAGAACTGAAGTTTGTCCATAACACAGAGTATCTGGAGCCCTTTCGTTTTCTACCATCCCCCCAAAAAAATAGAATTAAGAAACAAAAACATCAAAAAACAGGCACCCAAACACTTCCAAGCAAATGCTGAACAAAAAACCCGTCCGAAGGTCTTTGCCTGTACCTGGCAGAAATCATGATCCAGGGGGAGACAGCTCGCGACGTCCAACTTCTCTCTGATCAGGCCACGGCCACTGCCATGCTCCCGCTCTCTCCTTCTGCGCAGATTTACGAAAATAGGGGACCCTGACAAATAGTAGGCTTAGGATTCCCTTATAAAAAGGACCCCAATAAGGTACCCCCTAATATCGTAAACCCCCATGCGCACCTTCTTGGGGGTGTATCAGCGGTTCACTGCCAGCTTGTTTCTTAAATGGGCCCGGCCCACGGCGGTTTCTCCAAGAACTCCCAAAGCAACGAGGGCACAAGACAGATAGTGTAGGTGGCTTCGACCACCTTGCTGTCTCAAAGCTTCATAGGTTGGGTTGGATGCAAGTTACCTCAAATCAACTAACTACCTCTAAATTCCTAGATCGTGGAACTACCGAAGCTTTAAGTCGTCAGGGACCAGCACCGGTGGGTGGGACGGCCTTTGAGGTCCAGCAGGCCCAATCTGGGGCAGTCTTGAGGTTTCTGAAATATTCTTATTCGCCCTTCAAGCTTCAAGTTTCATGGTCCGCCTTGATTTGGGATGCCCGTTTCCTTGCTGGATGTACAGCTTCTGCAGCACAAGGGGTGCCGAAGACAAGTGCAGATCTCTTGATCTCTTGCAGGTGGAAGATGCTCGCAACAAACACGAGATGAAGCGCCGAGTTCTGTTCCTTTCTGCCGGTTGCCTGCAATTTAAGCTCCACGCTGCTCTATTATTATTATTATTAGTATTATTATTAGTAGTAGTATTGATGCCTAGATTGGCCTAGATAGGGCCGTTCGAGCTCAAAACTTGGCTTCGGATTATGGAATGCATCGTGGTAGAGCTTCATACAGGCTGCTACTGTATGAAGTTGCTGAGGCCATAATTGCAATGTACGTCGTGGTCAACGCGCTTGTGCAGTATGTGTTCGACGCGGCCGCCATTGAGACCGCCCTGGAACAGCTGCTCGCCTTTCTCTACAGCAGGGTCCTCTTGTTGTTATAGCATGCTGCAACCTTGCTGGCACGCGCTCGTGCGCAGGTTCTGTATGCATCTAATCATTCATTCATGGCAGATACACAGAATTGCACAGAAGAAGCGTATGTGTGCATTATATATATATATACGCATATGAAGACATGTATAGATAGATATACATATATATATATACATATATAGAGAGAGAGGGGAGATAGATGTAGATTCCATTGCGTGCCCGTGGCCAAACGCAACCCCAAAGATGTAAGGATTCGCTCTGTCACCGACGTGAAGGGGGGCCCGGTCCTTGCCAAGCTTCTTTTGCGTCGCTTGGACTGACATGTCCTGTTGCCTGGAAGGTCGTTTAGGTTCTTTCGTCCTGCTGAAGGTCCTTCCTCCGAGTCTTCAATGCCTTTTCGTCAAGACTCCCCTGACATGTATCCCATGTAGCCCTTGCTGCCTCCTTGTCGGCAGCTGCAGCTGCAAACCATCGAAACACTTTGGACCCTGGAAGCCTGCAGACAGTACATGGGAGAGTGCAGAGCTACGCAGCCGCTCAGTAAGGAGGTCAGTCAAAATTAGGTCATCGCTGCTAGGATCTTGCTGACATGCCAGCAACATCACGTGTTGCTCTCAGGCATGATCCCCGGCGTGACCGTTTCCATCATCCTGGGTTTGCCACTGGGCAGCACGTGGCGCGTGCAAGAAGTTGCGCATGCATAGATGGGCAAAGCCATCTCTGGCCCAGCAGCAGCAGAAGCAGCAGAAACAGCAGCAACAGCAACAACTGCAACAACAGCAACAACTGCAACAACTGCAGGGCAGCAGCAACAACGGCCACAGCAGCGGCAACAGCAGCGGCAATGTCAATACAAATAATGACTGGCAACAATAGCAGCCGCACCAGTAACAGCAACAGAAACAGCGCCACCACGACCAGCAACAGCAAGGGTAACAGCAACAAACAAAAAGTCGACAAAAGCCGCAGCAGCAGAGGCGGCGGTGGCAGCAGCAGCAGCAGCAGCAGCAGCAGCAGCAGCAGCAGCAGCAGCAGCAGCAGCAGCAGCAGCAGCAGCAGCAGCAGCAGCAGCAGCAGCAGCAGCAAGAAGGGCAGCAGCACCTACCCTCTCCTGCTTAAGAAGAACAAATCTCACCCGAGCTTCGCCGACTTTCTGGCGCGTCGCAACGCGCAAGGGCATGCAGCTGCGTTGAGAGTCGAGGCTAAGAAGGATTAAAAAAAGGATGGGTTGCAACAACTACTGCGTGGGACAGCGTTTCCCATCATATTTAATTGGTAGTTGTGGGACCGTGGGAAGGGGTAAGTTTGACAGCGAGGCTTGTACTCAGGGCGTTGAGATGCGCGCAGTGAGAGGGGGATATATGGTTCCGTGTCCCGTGTCGGTACCCCCCCCCACCCCCCCCCCCATGGTATCCCCCCCCCCCCCCTCCCCCCAACCCCTCCCCACCCCGCCTAAACCCTAAACCCTAAACCCTAAACCCTAAACTCTAAACCCTAAACCCTAAACCCTAAACAAACCCAAACCCAAACCCCAACCACACGGGGCCCAAACCACAGGGGGGCGGGGCGGGGAAAGAATTTGGGGGGGGCCATGGGGGGGGGGTACCATAGGGTGGGGGGGGGTGGGCGAGGCAGCGACGCTGCACCATATATGGGGATATTTCCTTCTGCTTTATAACTGCTTAGCTGAGGCTGTAGGCATTCGTGGAATCGAGTGAGCAACATGTGAGGCAACCGATGTCAGTGTAATGACAGTCTGGGACGTGACGCATGCAGCGATGAGTTGGGAAAGGGTCGGACATGGGATCCAGGCTGGTGCCCTTCTGCGGCTACATCGGTGCACAGCAAGACAGCCAAGGCTTCCTGGGCTGCATGATGGGGTTAAGTGAAGCGGATATCCTATAAGATTTGCTCGGAGGTAGTCTTGGGTCGCACGCTGACTAGAACGGGCATCCTTTCTCTTAACTGCCTCGACGTACCGAATGAACATGCCCCTACAGGCGTGCGTGGAAGGCAAAGACAGGCAAATCAACACCATCAGGTTTTGCCTGACTACTTCGGGCGTGAGCACTTGTTCTGTAGAGCAAGGGCATCGAGGAGCGAAACCAGTTGCGAGCGCAAGCTAGTGCACGCCCTCGGTCAATCGCACTTGCTTGTTATTTGCGCCTCTCTTTTTCCATAAGCCTCAGGCTTGGTTGGCTGCTTTTGCTGCTGCAACGCCTTCCACTGCAGCTGCGCAAGCCTGGGCTTCATCACCATGGCCGGATCCCTAAGATTGGCAGGTTTCCTCATTATTCGGGTGTGAAGATTGTGTGGGCCTGCAGTGCAGCTGCACTCTACAGCTACATGGCTGAGGCTCAGGCCTTTCGTGGGACTCTTGATAAAGTTGCTACGCAGGCACAGGGCATGCATACAGGTGGTCTGGACCAGGAGGTTGTGGCTCCGATTTGATTGGGCTCGACGCATGACCTTCACCACTCAGGTCATCATCATTGTGATGCTTTCTGCTGCTACACCAGGCCATACGACAGAGTGTCTGGTAGTGTCGTTAGCAAAGCGGCTTCAGCTCCAATTTTTTCTAGTCTGCGCCTTGGAAGGCTGCCCCCAAGCAGATGGTTCGTAGCATCTGATGTTGAAGGGCAGCGCGATGCCGTATGTAGGGTGAAGCTGCTAGGTCGTGCAGCGACAGACTCGTGTGTGCATTTCAGGAATTGAGTCCTACCTGGAGGCGTGTGATCCGGTTCAGTGCTCCCACCTGAAGCTTGCCTGCAGCGCAGGGACTTCAACAGCACCACAAGATGGCGTGTTTCCTGTTTGTTTCTGGAGACTTGAGATGTTGGGAGTAGTTCGTATCCGACACAGCATCCTGAAGCTGTAGCCCGGTGCCCCAATCCGTGCAATGGCAATGGCTCAAGGTCCAAGCTTAAATTATACTTGTAGCTTCCATATCGGCATGGCATCAACTGGTGGGTTGAAATAGCCTACTCAGGCATGGAGCTCGAGAGTCTTTGCAGCATGCTACTTACCGCTAGTTGCCCTTGAAGATGGTGGGGATTCGCAGCTGCAGCACTGGGACGTGAACCGGGACGCCAAACAGCGCCAGCTTAAAAACTAGCAGCTGCAGGTGACAGCTCCTGAGGGTACTTAGAATGTGTAGAATCGGCAGACTCCTTTCACCTTGTTCGAACGGAGGGTGCAGCCTCTGTACTGCCTGCGGTCGACGAGCAAGACGGCAAAAAGGGGGCTCTTGTTGAAGGAGAAGTCTGCCAGGTAGGCGATGCTTCGAGACATCCGGAAGGAATTCGGATGTGACAGAAGGGATGCTCACGGCTGCAGCTTGAGTCGGAACTTAGGCAAGTTGTGGGGCGTGGAGTACAGCAAAATGTGAAGTGCAGTTCAAAGGTGCCATCGAGAAGACGTGATGATGAACGCAGGGACTTGCAGCCCAATCCTCCAGGGCGCACATGGGTTCCGGCTTTTTCCTGTCGGTGCTGCGCCGCTGCCGCGAGCTCCCGGACTCCTGGAGCTCGCTGCAGCGTGCGGAACTCCGAGAGGGGAGAGCCGGTGTCCTTGCCAAAGAAGAAGAGGAAACAAGGCAAGACGCAGAGGCTCAGCTGATAGCAGCCCTCGAGATCGAAGTGGATGTGGCGAGGGAGGCAGGCCTGGAAGAGGGTACATGTCGTGCCGCTCGATTCGACGCGCCCTCTGCCTTGGCAGTACTGAAGAATTTTGCAGCGCTCGACGAGCTCTGCTACCCCTCGATGTCGCCTTTGCACCGCATCACTCGTAATGCAGGAAAGCAAGAACTCTGGACTGACGCTCAGGCGGAGCAGATCGTCAGTCCAAAGATCTTGCTTTCCGGCATCACGAGTGATGCGGTGCAAAGGCGACATCGAGAAAGTGGTTGATGCTGCTCCCTTTTCGGTGCGGATGAGGACCTCCACCCGACAGCGTGTGGCTTCTCAGTTTCAGGTGGGCGTCCGCCGGTGAGCGGGCGTCCGGCGCTGATTGAATCCTGCTCTGTGTGTAATTGGCACGGCTGCAACTGCGCACAGCGTGCGTGAGTCGAGCTTTGCCTGTGTAGCATATACTTGTACACTTACCAACATCGAGCTCAAGCTTGGCACGTGCCCCTGAAAAAAAGGACTGAGAAGCAGCTTTCAATCTTGCCTGCTGCAACTTAGTTCACGCTCGCTGAAGCGATGTAGTTCCCGAGCCTTGCCTGCCGTGCGCGAGTCCCCGCCATGGAACTAATAATTAGGGTTTAGGGTTTAGGGTTTAGGGTTTAGGGTTAAAAAGGGTCGTGAAGCACTTTTGAGGGCAGGAGTCCTTCAAAACTACCTCAAGCGGATCGCCCCCCATCTGCAAAAAGCCCAGGCCTGCAGATCTCTCCCCAGCGCGGAAGCAGGTGAGGAGGGAGAGTGAGATTTCAGAGGCGGATTGTGAGAGTTGTTAATAAGAGTTCCCCTGTCTACGTCAAGCGCGTTGTACGTCATGGAGCAAGCGTTGAGAAGGATCGCTATACGCAGCTACTTGATAATTTTAGTAGAATTCTAAGGCAGAGACACACCAAGGCATTGATTGTCGACTGCCTGGCGGCCGGAACCTGGCCTGGTGAGTACCACCAGTGGCATGGCTCGTGAAATTCAAGTCTGAGTTGTTTCAGGGCATCCCTGAGCACCCTGAAGATCACCTCTCCTTTTTGTATTCTTGGGGGCGATGGAACTTGCAGCTCCACCCTAAGCACACATGGCTGGGAACTGTAGGGCTGGTGATTTCAATTTCAGAATTCAGGGAGGCTGTCCATGGGAGATCATGGGAGACAAGACAGCAGAGTCCTGTTGAGCAGCTGAGGCGCTTTCCGGGCAACGCAAGGTATCCCGACATTTGCCTGGGGCTTACATATCTGCGGGGGTCGCCAGCTCATCCAAGGCAACTGTTAGTGAAAGAATGCCAGGCCCCAAAGTCATGCTCAAGTGCAAGGAGGACATGGCGCTGATGAGCTGACGCTGTTTTGCGCCTGTGTGTCTGTGTGTCTGTGTGTCTGTGTGTCTGTGTGTCTGTGTGTCTGTGTGTCTGTGTGTCTGTGTGTCTGTGTGTCTGTGTGCGTGCGCGTGCGTGCGTGCGTGCGTGCGTGCGCGGGCGTGCGTGCGTGCGTGCGTGCGTGTGCGTGCCTGTGCGTGCGCGTATGCGTGCTAATGCATGACAGGCCCGAGCAAGTTTCAAGCAGCGTTGCTACGATTTGCACCTTTCTTGTTACGAATGCTGCGCTCAACTGCTGCTGCCATATCATGGCTATCCCATGCGTGGTAAAGCGCAT